ATTTCATTTTTGCTCCACTGAAAGTTACCAAAAAAAATCATAACCTGAGATAACTTAATTTGTTTTATACATATTTATTCGTGTTTACGATCTTTATTTTATATTTTATAGCATACAATATGAGTTTAAATTTGTTTAATAATTATGAATATCGATTACGATTGTGGGATTGGAATAGAATAAGGTGTAAAATTGCCATTTACTTATTGTTAAAACGTAGAAGAGAATGGGTTTATAGCACAGGTTTATAGGTCATTTATGGGCCATTTGGGACATGTGAAATATTCAAATTTCGTAAGCAACAAGGTGCTTGTCGCAGTTTAATTCAAAAAATAAGGAAGAAAAATGAGAAAAAATTTAGGAATTTTCACAGATTGTCTGTATAGGAGTTTGATAACTTGGTTGAAGTTGAAAAATTGTCGCCATATATATCAAAAACATATTATGTACGAGAACCCATTTCAACTGGAGAAATGCTTTCAGTTACTTTGCGGCAGCGTCGTCAAAATAATCGATAACCGGATCACAACACCATTCTGCGCAAACGCGTACCTTAAAATCGCGCGAATATTCGCAAAAAGTTGAAAACACTTTAACTTTCCCGCCCCCCAAATTTTAAATCTTGCGAATCGCCAAAATCTTAAAATTTCTGACAGCGCCGCCATGATCAGTAAAATTGGACCAATGAGAGCAGTTTCGCCAAATCGCAATTCGCGATTCGCGTCTATATGAAACAAGCTTTATGCAGTTTTAATATGGAGCTGGGTTATGTTGTCTTTTTCTTACGGCACAGTAATTGCACACGGGGTTAAATAGGGAACCATGAGTATATTTGTAAAAAGTAATACGTCGAGTCACCGCCTTCACCGGACTGGTACCGATTCAGTGCGCGTACACCTTAAAGGTGTACGCGCACTGAATCGGTACCAGTCCGGCGAGAAACGGCGAAGGCGGTGACTCGACTATCGTAGATAGGTAGAGGTAGGAATTTGGCCTCTACAGGCCGAAATGTTTTAGTGGACGCCGGCGCCGTCTATGATGGTCGCAGTCGCTTTTGCTGGTCGGTCCGATCCGATGCAGTGCGCGCGGAGCTTTACATTTATTTCAACGTGAACTGAAAATTACGTGCCGCTCGCTCTCGCCGATACCTATTCAGTGCGCGCGGAGCTTACCCGTCCCCTTTCTTTCCTTATCTAAGTAGCCGAGCTTCAATGCCGTCGACGTGCCGTCGACAACCGTTGATCTAAAACCGAAAATTTGTCTATTGAAAATTTCCAATTATATTCTGATTATGATATTGTCGCGCCATCTAGTATTTTATTTGTGCAATTTTAGCTCTTTCATTTCGAGTATTTTTCTGTTGCGTAGCTAGATATTCTGTGCTAATACGCTCCATTAGTGGTGACGTCATATTGTGGAAGGTCAGTGTCGCAAAATCTAAACAAAGCATGAATTAACCCTTTTTTTCTCATTTATTATTATATTACTGTTTTCTTAAGGATAATTGTATTTTTCCAAGTAAGTACATTTAATTTTGAACCGTAACAGTCCACTTTATAGTTAATAAATTCTATAATACTATGGAAATTCCTGTTCTTTATTGTTTTAACATAACCTCATATTACTTATTCCTATATGTATCCTTTTATGTAATTATACCTATAGTAAACGCTTATATACTTACTCAGAAAGACACAAATATCTTTTGAACAGAGTATTATAATAAAAAATTAGATTATCCCATTATATTCTTGCTTTGTTTGGATTTTGCGACACTGACCTTCTGCTACATGACGTCACACTAATGGAGCGTATAGGAGGGTCTATGCACGATCATGCTCATTCACCCCCATCCCATTCTCCGTACCTCCTACCCTCCTTCCCATGGTACAAAGAATACAAGGTATGATCGATAGCGGCTCCAATTTCGTTCAGTTCGCGCATACCACCTGTGACGTCACTAGGAAAATGAGGAATAAATAAAAAATAAAGAAAGTTGACAGGAGATCTGCATTTTTTGGGGTTAAGATTAAGAATTGTTTATTTTTAAGACTTTTTAGTTCGTTTAATTTAATAATTACTAAAACCAGCAGTTCCCAAAAAATATATTTAAAAATAATAATTATCTATTAACATGGATTTGGACTTTGGACCATAATAGGTAAGAATACTAAATTTATTTCTATATTCGGTACCTATAAAATTGTTTATTAGGTTTTTAGTTTGCGATGTTTATGGTAAATAATTTTCATGTTCATTGCCTCTGATTTCACATGAGGACAGAGATGAGGATATATATGGAAAAGTAACCACAAGAGGAATTGTTACATCATTTAAAAAATTGTTGGGAATTTTATTGTTTCCCATCGAAAAGTAGAAAATACCAATGCAGATGAATGTATTGTAACTGTGATAGAAGTAATTCCAAGGGTGAAGTTTATTATAATTAGTGGAAGTAATTCCAAGGGTGAAGTTTATTATAATTAGTGACCTGTGCTTCTTTTTATATGTAGATGTTTCAGGTTTTGAGAATAAATCGGTTGAATGAAACCCAAAATTTAGAGGAAGTATTTGCATACCCAGAATATGCCCATCAAAGATTATATAGCTCAAATTTCCTTTAATGGTAGGCAATTATTCAATGCAAATTAACTTTTTAAGTGACTGAAATATTAAATAGTTTACAATATGGTATATCATTAAAAATATATTACTTTTAGGTACAATTAGGGCCTGATACATTTCAAAAAGTAGAATATTATTTTATATTAAATGAGGTATTGTACCAACAGTCAATTTATATTAATACCGGAGATGAAAAAATAACAGAATAAATAGTTCTTTTTTTATACTACAAAAATAAACTATAGAATACAACAGTATTTAAAAAAATAAATAAAAAGTTATGTCCCGGCCGAGATTCGAACTCCGGTCTCTCGCTTCCTAGCCCAACTCCTTACGCACTGCTCCACAGTAACTTGCTTAGCGATAATTCAATGACGGTATATAAACAAAAAAAAACAGGTTTATAACAATACCTTGACGATTTGAACTGGCGCGCGGAGCGTGCTGACCAATAGCGCCTGTTATCACCTGTGACGTAGCGACCAACCTGCGCAATATCATACCTTGTATTCTTTTACCATGCCTCCTACCCATATAGGTATATTGCATGGTACAAAGAATACAAGGTATGATATTGCGCAGGTTGTCGCTACGTCACAGGTGATAACAGGCGCTATTGGTCGCACGCCGCGCGCGCCAGTTCAAATCGTCAAGGTATTGTTATAAACCTGTTTTTTGTTTATATACCGTCATTGAAACCAATCGCTACAAGTTACTGTGGAGCAGTGCGTAAGGAGTTGACCGGAGTTCGAATTTATGGACATAACTTTTTTTTAAATACTGTTGTATTCTATAGTTTATTTTTGTAGTATAAAAGAAAGAACTATTTATTCTGTTATTTTTTAATCTGCGGTATTAATATAAATTGATTGTTGGTACAATACCTCATTTAATATAAAATAATATTCTACTTTTTGAAATGTATCTGGCCCTAATTGTACCTAAAAGTAATATATTTTTACAGTGATATACCATATTGTAAACTATTTAATATTTCAGTCACTTAAAAAGTTAATTTGCATTGAATAATTGCCTACGATCAAAGGAAATTTGAGCTATATAATCCTTGATGGGCATATTCTGGGTATGCAAATACTTCCTCTAAATTTTGGGTTTCGTTCAACCGATTTATTCTCAAAACCTGAAACATCTACATATAAAAAGAAGCACCAGATCACTAATTATAATAAACTTCACCCTTGGAATTACTTCTATCACAATTACAATACATTCATCTGCATTGGCATTTTCTATTTTTAGATGGGAAACAATATAATTCCCAACATTTTTTAAATGATGTAACAATTCCTCTTGTGGTTACTTTTCCATAGATATCCTCATCTCTGTCCTCATGTGAATTCAGAGGCAATGAACATAAAAATTATTTACCATAAACATCGCAAACTAAAAACCTAATAAACAATTTTATACCGAATACAGAAATAAATTTAGTATTCTTACCTATTATGGTCCAAATCCATGTTAATAGATAATTATTATTTTTAAATATATTTTTGAAACTGCTGGTTTTAGTAATTATTAATTAAACGAACTAAAAGTCTTAAAAATAAACAATTTTTAACCATAACCCCAAAAAATGCAGATCTCCTGTCAACTTTCTTTATTTTTTATTTATTCATTATTTTCCTAGTGACGTCACAGGTGGTATGCGCGAACTGAACGAAATTGGAGCCGCTATCGATCATACCTTGTATTCTTTGTACCATGGGCATGGTACAAAGAAAACAAGGTATGATCGATAACGGCTCCAATTTCGTTAAGTTTGCGCATACCACCTGTGACGTCATACGCCATACAAAAAAATATCCATATTGTTCAATTGCCACTAATAAAAAAAGACCTAAAATAGGGAAGAATTAGGACATAACCCCAAAAGTTATGTTTTGACATCGAGCTTGACATTTGAAAAATTATTTTCACATTTTGACACAATCAAATTTCACAGATGACACAATCTGTTTGACAATTTGAAATTGGCGCGCAGAGCTTGCCGACCAATGGTGCCGTTTATCACCTGTGACGTAGTGACCAACCTGCGCAATATCATACCTTGTATTCTTTGTATCATGTACCATGGGTATATTGCCGTCCCCCTGCAGCAGCACCACCTCACCGCTGTGCGGATAGCGCGCCGCCAGGGTGATACCGTTTTTCATTTGCTGTCCTCCATTCGCGAACTTCGAGTTCCGGGCTTTACGCCCTGGAGCTACTCGAGAACGGTTCTGAAAGGAGCGGTGCGCGATAACCCGGTGCCTCCATATGGCGCGGAACAGTTCTGGAGCTCTATGACTCTCGCGTTCTTGAACAGTTCAGAGCTGCTCAACTGCGTGAAAGGAGGACAGCAATTGACGTCGCCAGCCGGGTTTCCTGATTGGCGCTGGCCTGCAGCGCCACAATGCTCCTACCTCATCCTACCTCTATATCTCTGGTCTGGCTTCTGATTTGTAACCTCAAAATTATCGATCTTGTCAAATGATAAATGATGCAAGTTGAAGGAATATAAACAAAAATAGTTTTTTTTTATCAAAAAATGGATGAATCAAAAGGAACTCCTGAGAGCGAGTTCAGTATAGAATGTTTTCAAAACTACACAGCCCCAGAAGTATTTATACAGGGTTTAGCAGGTATAGTCGACCAACAAGATGTCGAAGCAATGATAAGAGCTCAGAAACAAATGTAAATTCTATATTAACTATTTAAATATGCATCTTTACTATTGTTTGCAATTTAAGGCTACAAAGATTCGAAAAAACTAATGAAATGTTAACAAACTGTAATGCTTTGAGTGCATCAAGACTAAAAACTATAGGACCTGAGTTTAAGAAACATATACAACTTTTACTAGAAATGAAGAAAGATTTGGATTATATATTTAAGAAAATCAGAGCTATTAAAACAAAACTAGCAGCACAGTACCCTGAAGTACCTATAAGTTCTTAAGGTCTTAAAAATAAGAAGTGTTTTAAATGACTTATTGTAGGCTTTTGCTGAAGCTGTTCGAAGTAGTTATGCTGAAGAATGTGCAGAGGAGGAATCAAAAGAAGTATCAGGAAAAAAAGATAATAGAAGAAGTTTACATATTAAAAGTGAGGTTGAAGCGTGCAATTCAGGGGAACAATCAAGAAGAGCTTCAAAATAATGTGTATTTTTGTAAATATCTGTATATTTTAATTAACTTAAGCTGTATTTTAACAATAATTATATATTAGACAATTAATATAATCTTTTATTCTATTTGTTTTTCACTAATAATCACTTTGCATATTTTTCAGTATATTCTCTAGCTTTTCTCTTAAATTTATCATTAAATCTGTGAAAAACAATTAACTAATAAAATTAACTAATAATTGAAGATAACGCTTACCTTAAATATTCTTCAGCAATGTCAACCATTAATGGATCTTCAGGATTGGGAGTCTCTAGCAACATTCGTATTGCAATTAAAAGGGCTTCTATGCCAATAATAGGCTTCCAACCTCCGTTAGGTGGCATTTTCATCAAATCTAAACAAATTCTTCCACTGTCGTCGATGTTTGGGTGATAAATTTTTGTTAGAAACTTAATAGAAGGAGGCGTAAAAGGATATTTCTCAGGAATAATTATTTCTAACTTAAAAACACCTCGTTCATAGGCTGTGTTTTCAGGACCAGTGATTTGTGCTTCCATAACACTAAAATTGTCGTCTTTTGGGAATACACAGATGCCATTTGTTTCTGTATTTGCTAATTTTGCTAATTCGCGACTTAAACGATCTTGTTTTAGCATTTTTTTAGAAAAAAAGCGCCAAAAACTTTTTAAAATGCCAATTTAAATTACGTTACCTAATACCTATAGTAAACGCTTATATACTTACTCAGAAAGACACAAATATCTTTTGAACAGAGTATTATAATAAAAAATTAGATTATCCCATTATATTCTTGCTTTGTTTGGATTTTGCGACACTGACCTTCTGCTACATGACGTCACACTAATGGAGCGTATAGGAGGGTCTATGCACGATCATGCTTCCCTCTTTAATTGACATCTGTTTGTTTTGTTTTTTTTCGTTTGTGTTGTTATCTAGTTAAAATTTATTATTATCTCAATTATTCTAAACACTAATTCAAAAAGGCTTGTTGTATATTGTCATAGTCATTCTAAGAGCTAATACGCCGGGAAAAATGATTAGTTTTCATGTGTAAGTTTATACAACATAATCGTGTTTACAGATGATCCAAAACTGTTTATTTTTGCTTTTCCTAAAGGCGATTTATAAAAATCGTGATTGTAATTGGGAATGGTCAAAATAAGTGTATGATGTGGCCATTTAAGGAGAATGTTTTTATTACTTGTGGAGGAAGAAGATACTTGGAATCAATGTTCATGCTTCTTGTAAAACAGTGCACTATTATAGTGTCCATGAAAGCACAAGTTCAAGTGTACCAAGAAATATGTCAAATAAGATTTCGGTCCTTACTTGACAAGAAGATTATTTGGAGGAAAGAAAACATAAGATAGGGTATTTTAATCGAACAGTGAAAATTTAACATTTTTATTGTAAAGTTTGTTGTAGGTGGAGTTGTAGTTTTGTGCTAAATATTTCTAACATTAGCAGCAGCAGTAAGTTCAGAGTGTCAAGAGGAGGAGAATTCAGTTAATTAGATTTATGCACAGTTACAGGTATGAAGGTTTTTTCAAACATAGTATCAAGTTCTATAGTCAACATTTTTAGTATTCCTACAACTGTAAAAAACAAGGAACATTGGACCGAAAAAATGCAAGATTTATACAGGAAGAAAGGGTATTATTTCATAAGAAAATTAAATCTGTAGGCAGAAGTTTCTTATTTAAAAACTGTTATAGGGGCATATATTAATTTGTATCTGTGCCACAAATCACTGAGAAAATCATATAATATTCATAATTGTTAACGAGATGATATTTAAAACAGTGTTAAAATGAGACTATTAGTCATGAAGCTTACAATGTTACTTTGTTTCAATATTACACTTTTCTTGTAAATTCTATGATGAAGTTCAAAAAGTATTTTGCAATGGCCTTAAATTGTGAGCCAGGATTTATAGCAAAAAGTATTTGATGCAATGAAACTTAATTGGTACCTTCCAGTATGTATTTTAGTAAGGTGATTGTCAATCCCATGTTTTTAAATAGATAAAATACAGGCCAAAGTTGACAATATTATAGTTGAGAAGAAACTATTTTATCTTAAAAAAATATTTCTTAAAATTCTGAGATCATATAATCTAATTTTCTTAATAATAAATTAGGTATATGTATGTTGTACATACAGAATTTTGTTATGGACAAATAAGGATCGACAAGCTTCTTTTGTGCAAAAAATAAATAATTTTTTCTAGTATTACGATAAACCATAATGTGTTTTACAAACTTACCGGTAACAGTTTTTTTTTATAATAAAATATTTAGGAATAATTTGGGTTGTTTATCAATATATTAATGACTTGAATTTTGACAAATTGAATTTGTATCAAAATAATTTACGAAATATAAAATTGATGTTCTATTACAAGATTGAGTTTTTATTGTCGACAAAAACCAGGATAAATACTAATAATAATACCCTTAATAAAATCAATGATGTTTATGTATTATAAAAATATTTGTTACAGGACATGTTATGTAACAGTTTTTGAAACACAATTTGAAGGGACGAATAAAAAAAATAAAACAAAAACATATTTTTTCTAAGTTTATATTAAAAATACAAGGTAGGTAATCATCAAAAATAATTATGAACCAAATGTTTTTTATGAATATACAACTTGAACAAAAAGTTGTTTGGAACAATTTTTACCAAATTTGCAAAAATTTTAAATTGAAACGCGTAATTCAGTACAAGTAAACATGAAATATTGTAAATATTTATTTAATACTATTTCGAGTGTTTAACGACGAAAAGGTTATCTGTCCGTAGCGTCTTTTGTCAGAATATGCGTATATTTAGTGTATTATATACCAATATTGTACGCAGTTTGAAACTGATAATTAAATAAATCATATTAATGTTAACCTCAACGATAATAAATGATAGAATTTCACTAAATTTAAATTGCCCCCCGTATGGTTGAAAACAGCAAATTGATATTTGATTACTTATAGATTACCACCTATATACAAAATGACACGAAGACCTGGAATATGGCGCCCAACTTGATTAGACCTTTTGCGCATGTTGACGCTCATTCTCTATCCCTTCTATTTCTATGACGTAAACGTATCGGTTGACATGTACGCTTGCGCAGTGAGAAATTCACTTGCGTTTACGGATACGTGATACGTATCTTTACGTGCCTTTACGTTCGTACAAAACGCAAACGTATCGAGCCGAAGGAGTTTCGATTTTCACCCGAATGATGCCGAACGTACAAATTGAGATGGCTTTTTTTGGCACACAGTCAAGTTGACACACAGTGCAAGCGACATTCACCCGAGCGAAAAACGATCCTATCCGACTCAGACCGATCTCCAATCCACGGTGTACTAGGAATGGGCGTTTATATCGATAAAAATTTGACTAATAAAAGCAGAATGCAGAATGAAATGTATTTTGGCCATTTTTTAACTAATGTGCCTGATCAGTTTTTCAATTTTTATTTTTATAAAGATAAAATAAATCACCAATTTTAATTAAATAAATATCTTACATTATTTAAGAGTATTCAAGCATTTTTTCGACATTCGACAATTCTTTTTTATTGAAAATTCAACTTTTTCAAATACTTTTTTCTCGAAAAATCCTTTATAGATGTGTTTCTTTGGGGTCGTGAAATAGACCACCTCTAAAAATAGTTGCAGTTATTTAAGACTCACCCGGTATATAAGTATTTTGTTATTTTTTTTACAACCGAGAAACAAATAAATGAAAAAGATCAAGTAAAAAAAATACATAATTATGATTTTTTTTATATAAAATATAAACAAATATAGAGCTGTTTACAGGGGAGTTTTTGTTGCAACTTGACTAAATATCTCCAAAAATCCTATATGGGGTATTTCTCCACTGCAAGAAAATCTACAAAATAAAATATAGTTACTTTTTGTAAACACTTCTTGCGTTAAACCCAAACGGAAGTTACAGTTGTCAAGTTACAGTTGTCAGAAGTTACAATATAGAGCTGCTTACAGGAAGTTTTGTTGCAACTTGTCAGAAGTTTACAGTTATACAAATTAAGCTCTAACAAAACAAAAATGCTTAACGTTTCGAAAGTTTATCTCTTTCCGTCGTCGGACAAAAAACATACAAAGAATAAAGAAAAACTATTTAAAATATTTATGACTAAATATCTGTGTTGGGCTGGTTATATATAGTGGACTGTATTTTTTAATAGTTTTATTAACGTTTATATAAGCAAATAACAATTGTTTTAATAAATCAAAAAGAAATGAAAATTCCTGCGACTTGCTGGGCTGACAAGAAGGGGTGGCACGGGTGGCAAGTGACAATGACAGAGACGGGTTCCCCTAGAGGTGGGTTGTGAAATCGCAGTCCGCTACTTTGTCACAGCTCCACCAACGTCGCAGTATGTGACTGCTCCAGTTCCAAGAAAATCGCAGTGACATTTCGGAGCAGTTTACAAGTTTAGACATCTGCGCTCGTGAGTAGCAATAGGAGCAATAGCAGGCAATAGTGTAAATTCTGAAAATGCTCCTAGCCCCTGTCGCCCGGTCAGACTGTTCCAGTCACAGTCGTCGCAGGTCGCAGTCGACTGGAGCATAGTATATTGAGTATATTCTGTGTACTGGGCTGTTGGGAGTTTGGGAACGAGGCTTATTAGCAGCGTTCGCTTTTTCTTTCATGAATCTAAATAAGATATTTATGTATTTTTATATATTAATCACAAACAGATGTTTTTTTGACAAAGGTAATTTTAACTTGTTAGTATGTTTATTTGTTAGTTAATTTTGTATCTGTGTTTTGTTGTATATCCTAAATCTTTTTATTTGATCTTATACATTCATATAAGTTTTATTATTTATATCTATTTTTAAGGTCTGATGATGGTTAAATAGCCGAAACCGGTCACTAATAAAGATTTTTGACAGTTTCGACTTTGAATTGAATATAACATTAAGTTTCTACCATGGGCCACCACTCTGTGAAAATGAACAGACTCTTTAAGATATTTATAGCAAAGTGCTTGGTACTTAGAAACACTCAAATTCTTCTGAATAGACTAAAAACATAGCAACATCTATCAAACTAAGACATCAGTATAGTACCGTACAGCCGCGATTTTAAGAGCTCTAGGGGCCCAAGTGCCAGTTCGAAAAAGTTCGAATCTTGTTCGCAAGGGCTCGAGGCTTGGGGCTCGTCTATAACTTACCCCGATTGCACAGACGTTAAAATCGCCACTACTGATCGAAATAAAAAACGACGTCTAGTTGGCTTGGAAATGACAATCGATAACATTCCCCATAAATTTTACATATAAAATGCCAGCAATCTTCATTTCATAGCTATCGCTGACGCCGTTTTTTTCGATCATACGATATAAATAAACAAAAACTAGTCGATGATGTTGCCTATCATAATCACACCTATAGTCGTACTTTTTTAGTAATGCAACGAACGGTGCCGAATATTGAGCGCGATTTTCCGGAGCAATCGCACCTATAAAACTACATTTTTAATTTATAGGTTATTTGCTCCGAAAAATCGCTGCTACTTCTGTCACAGTGCTTTATTGGAGCAGTCGCAGAGCGTAGCAGCTCCACAAAAATCGCAGACTGGCCCACCTCTAGTTCCCCCTCCGTCGCGTCGGATGGTCGGACAAAAGCCGGACAACGTCAGGCGCAGAGATAAAAGGTCTGGAGCGGTTGTAGCATTTAGATGGAGCGGGGCAGCAGCTTAGGTGGAGCAATTGCACCATTTAGAAACTTGAGCAATCGCAGCATTTTAGAAGCTTGAGCCCAAACAATCTGCGTAAACTTCGCACTTCGCACCCGGCAGAAATTAAATATAAAATTTCAACAACCAAAACCGAACCAAAATTAAGATAGGCCAAGTCATATACAATCCTAGATACCATACGGTCGAAAAAAAACGACGTCAGTAATGGAAACGAAAATCGCTGTTATTTTGTATGTAAAATTATATGGGGAATGTTATCGATCGTCATTTCAGGCCAACTATACATGCCGTTTTTTCAATCAACGCACATTTTGAAAATAATTTTGTCAACATACAGGGCGATTCCAACATATTTTCGAACCTAAAGTTTTATATTTTTAAATGGAATATTATATATTTTAGCTCAACTTTCGTTTAGCTGAAATCTGTTATGGATAAAAACTGACTTTATATATATGCGTTCTAGAAGGCGTTAGGAGTACAAATATACAAAATTTTCCTACGGAAATGCGTCACTTTCATTTTTCGGACTTTTTAGTATGGCTGAAATCTCTTACATCAAAACTAGTCTTCGGGGTGTGTTTTAGATATTTTTCTAAATATAAAAACACAAAAAAGTGTCTGCGGAATTTTTTATTTTATTTTACATAAAAAATTGACACCGGAGGCACGTATAGCCGCCCATACTAAAATATGTTAATATCTCGAAAACTGCGACTTTGACTCATTTTGGATGTTATTACAAATTTTGTTGCAAATATTATTCTAATCTTAATTTGAAAAACCGTTTCGCTAGTTACTGTAATTTAGGAGTTACGGTTTTTTTGTAAATTTTTGGAGGTGTTAAGCTGTGGTTTTTATACTTTAATAATTAACTGTGATTTTGCAAAAATATTATTAGATTGGTTAGGATTTGGGTTACTTTGGTTAGCTTTTCTTTGTGGAGGGTGTTAAGCTCTGTGGTTTTTATATAATAATAATTAACTGTGATTTTGTAAAAATATTATTAGATTTATTATTAGATTGGTTAGCATTTTAGACACTTTTAAATATTTTTTTTTTCGATCAAAAGTGCTTCATCCAAGGATTTTTTTTGTAAACTGTCTATAAGCGTAGAACTTTCTGTCAAAAAAAAATTGCTAAATTCGTGGGTACTTATACTTTACAAGAGCCGATAATATAATAAGGAACAAATGGAAAATGGAAATTTTCGATGCTGCATCTCTTAATATTAATATTAAGAGCTCAAACTTTCACGGTATTTTTTTCGTCATTTTCAACATTTTCGATTAAGAGAAAAAATAGTAATTGATTTTTTTTAAACAGTCTAAATGTGTATTGTAATCTTTGACCAAAAACATGATTTTTAATAATAATTTATTAAAGATAAATAAGAAGAATAATAAGAATAATAAGAATACCAAATCTTTGATATATCAGAAAAATCCTTGTTTATGATGGCGTCTCATACGTCACAGGCTCCAAGGAGAACGATACTTTGTATTGAAATTACACACAATAGATCTGTAAGGTCGCGGTGATTATCTCCCCTTCTAAACAGTCTACATTGTATTGAAATTTAATTATTTTGTGAGCATATGTAGGTTAATTTAGAGCATTTTTAAAAATATATAGATTTTTATATTCTATAATATATTAATTGATTTTCGGATTCTATGAAAAAAATAAATGTGAATTTTATGAGATAAGCATATAACTAAAATTGAGGTTGAAAAAGGTTTATGACATATTCAACATTTCCTAAAAATGAACAAAATTTTTTAAATTTCAATAAAATCCAACTAAATTAGAATTTACCCGGAATAGCACTCTGTAGTTAAAATAATCAATCTACTTTAAATCAAAATAAAACATAACCATAAGTTATTTAAGTATGAGAGGCGCCACCCTGTATATACCTACAAGAATAAGAATATTAATTATTAGCATTCAATATATCCGAAGTTTGTTTTTAATATTTCAAATATTAATTTATAAACGACTTGCCATGCCGCATGCAAATTGACAAAATGGTGACGGAATATATAAATAATTCTCCATAAAGAAATAGTCATAGTAAACAGAGCATATTGTCACCTTTTTTAGCCTGCATCTTTAAATGATTATTCATATGACTATTACCAGTTTTCATATAAATATCCAATGATTAATCCATTGATTTATCCTATTCACTATCTTGCCACAAGACATTATATTTACATTCACAACAGTTAAAAATTTTACAGAAGATCGTTAAAAATTCAAAATCTATATAGTATCTTATTCTTTTTACTAAATGCCAAAGAGTTGAATTTTGAAAAAAAAAAACAGAAGATATACATGGTTGAATAATTCTAACAAAGAACATTTAATCCAAGTTTTGAGTGAATTTTTTCATATATATTATAGGTATATATAATATACTTTAATTATAATATATATTATTTATTTATACATTTTGCCTAATCATTTTACATTTTACCCATAAATGGCGTAATTTTGAAAAACAATAAAAAACGTGTTTGATTAAATCATATCGAAAACTATCTACATTAATACCAAGTTTTACGCATCATATTCTACAAAAACAATATCCACACAAACTTTATCAAATTTCTGTTCATTTTCGTAGCCTATTTACGAAGGATTGAGAATAAAACTTTGTAAACTCCATTCATAAAGGATGCCTAATATAGTCCCTTCAGCGACTAAGGGAAGATTTCGACATAGGAAATCCAAAAAAATGACAAACAATGAAATTTGTTTTATGAATTAAAATGACAAACTCCAAATCAAATCAAACAGTCAGGGATCCCCCCTGTTGGACAGCCCATAGTTTTGCACTTTTTTTTCTCAAGTAGCTCAAATTTTGAAAAATGTTGAAATATATGAACCTATTCATTTTACGTTTTACCTTATTTTTTTCAAGTTTCAATTTTTCATTTAAAAATAATTGAAATATAATTATTATCCCACTTTAAAAACATATATACTAAAAAGTAAAAAAATATTTGATATTATTTAGTGTTGCAAAACTTTCGGAAATTAAAACTAGTAAAAAGTTCTTATTCTATCGTATTACAAATTATAAATCGATCGATTCGGTCTGTAACAATTATTAAATGACCCATCACTAAACAGAATTATACTGCGCACGAGCCTAGAACTGTGTACCGTGTGTGGCTCGAAGATTTCCGATGTAGCTTCGGCTTGTGTGTCGGATACACATTGTACCATTTGTGGTTTCCCGTATTTGTCCTACCAACCGAACGTCACTTCGGGCATGTTCGGTAGTCCTAAAAATTCCTGTTTCAGGAATTTTGTCCTGGCTAACGTACTAAATCTGTCAACGTCGCATACTTTTCAATCTTGTTTTGTTTTGGAATTTGACAAGATTAACCTCAGAAAAAGTTTAAAATTATAATTTTTATGAACATTGACGAATAATGTTATGAATAATGTAATAGAACCTGATATAAAATAATCCGGAAATATTTACAAATAAAGCATAAACAAAATGAAAGTGATAGCAACACGATTACCTTTGATAATGTGTTTTTTATATAAGAATACGTCTACATGGGTTGAAATCTCAGGTGTGTATCTAGATAATATGTATTCAAACAAAAGCTGTAAAACGATTAACAATTTTTAGAAAATATTAAGCTATCCACAAATTCCTGAAAATAAATTAGCCGTGATTTGCGGAAAAAATGTTCTTAATTATTTTTCCCACATGATGTCCTTTCAGGTTCCAGGTATGTGATATTGTTTTAATTGCAAGATCGTAGCTTACAAAAATTCATTCTTCAGGAAACAGCACGGGCATGTATTAGGCATAATAAGTAATTATAAAAATATGAGCAAAAATGAGATGGTTTAAAAGAGTGAAAATTTTAAGGTTAAGAAATCTGAAACTCAAAGGAAAACTGATTAAAAACTGATAAATAAGTACCGTTAAACTGGAAAAGCAAACTAGTAAGTATTTTATTATGAATCTATTCACTATAACATTGTGGTATTTTACGAAATGTATTTCTTTTGAATTACAGCTATACGCATAATACAAAAGACAATTTATCATCTTTAAAACCATAAGGCATATGATATATGAGATAGGTAGGTATGTACCATGTGGTAGGTACAATATGATCGAAAAAAAAACGGCGTCAGTGATGGCTATGAAATGAAGATCGGTGTCTTTTATATGTAAAATTATATAGGGAATGTCAAGGATCGTCATTTCCAAGCCAACTGGACGCCGTTTTTTCGATTATATGAGACATAAGTGTCAGCCTTCCTAGACCACAGACCTTTATATTATACTTCTAGCACAAGGACATATCGGCAAGCCTTAGGTTGGTGTTTACGCGTGTAGGTGTGAATCGCTATGGTGATCTGGTCGGAGATAGAAAAATATAAAATATTTATTACATAACCACACTTAATCTGATGATTTCCTATGCATTCAATACCAAGTTCAATACATCTGATTGTAATAAGCATATTGGCCATACTCTTCATATACATGAAAATCGTATCAATCGTGTATCACATAGCACATTTAAGAGGACTGATCCTATAAAGGCATTTATTTTTGTTTTCTATTTATAACCTCGTTAACTCATTTATTTTGTAGATTTATTGAATATTAAGCTCTAGGATAAAAAAACCTGCTTAGACAGAACATGGGTATTTTCGAATACTTTATTTAGAAGATCTTGTCAGGACAATGATATAAGATTACAGAAAAATATCTGACGTAGGACAAATGTATAAAGTCTTCAGGATACCCTTCGGGAACAATTTAGAATGATGCAGCGTAAACTACAGTAAAGTCTGAACATTAAAGCATAAAGGTAAATAAATTATCCATACATGTGTGCAGCAAAGTCGTAATATAATAAATTTATTGTTTTCAGAAACAAAATCCACAACTTATTCTGCCAAATACAAATAGTACACATCTTATTTTACTAAGCGTGTTGACCGTACTCTTCATACACACAAAAATCGGCACCCAAGGCCTGAAATGCCAACTCTAGTATACCTATTCTATGTAATAAATATTTTTTTAAGTATATTTATTTGTATTATTATCTTTCTAGATTAAAATATTTTTAATCAGTCTGAGAATCAATATGAATTTATTTTTAAAAAAGAACGAGTATACCTAAAAGCAAAAATGATTTAAGTTAGTATGTCAAAATAATAAGTTAAGGTATTTTTAGAAAACCTGTATTTTAAATTGCAAAAGCTGATAGAATTTCAAATATTTTTCAAACTAAAAAAATGTATCGATCTGAATTAATTTTTCAAATATAACCAGAAAAAAATATCTATCTTAAAGTTGCAGCTGTGGTTGCAATACTCTGTATTGCTAAAAAACATTTTATTTATTAAAATTACAAAATTACGGTATAAAGTTATAAAAAAGTACTTTATAAAAAAAGATCTCCAAATTGTCAAGAAAATAATAAAAAGGGAAAATTCTGAAATTTACAGAAATTTCTTTTTCACTTTATTCCAATTATGTTAATGAGAGTGAAAGTAAAGACTATGGAGAGCTTATTCGTAGTAAAGTAACTAGTTAATTAGTTATTCTGTGTATAGCAAAGACTACCTGTAACGACCCCTAAAAGTAGTTAATAATAATTTAACATTAATAATTAGGTATTTCTTGCCTGAGTGCCTTGAGACAAAACCGGTAAAATAATAAGAACAAAATATGTGAGCAAAGGAATTCATAAAAACCGTAATATGTAAAGTTGATTAAAACAAATTACATATAAATATATATAAATACTGTAAAATCAAAAAAAAAACAGCTGGAAGAGCAGCAATTTTTTTTCAATTGTATAGTACTGTATGATCGAAAAAAAACGGCGTCCAGTTAGCTTGTTAATGATTATCGATGACATTCCCCATATAATTTTAAATATAAAATGACAGCAATCATTATTTCATAGCCGACCACTGTGACCATTGTGTATTATTCTTATTACTAATACTGCACCCAATCACTTTTTTGACAATAATCTATAAAAAATAAAAAGGTAAACAATTTTTCATATTATAAAATAATTTATTTCATTACAGGCCATAGGCACAAACCGTCATTTTTACTCCGAATAGGACATGCTATTTTTTTCAAACGTCACAAATATTTTTTTAAACAATTTCAAACTTTGCAAATAATATAACAAGATTTAAAAGTAATACCTTTGTAACTAATTATACCAGGCGATCGAATAAAAACGGCGTCAGCGATGGCTGTGAAATGACAATCGATGACATTTCCCATAAATTTACATATAAAATGACAGCGATCTTCATTTCATAGCCATCGCTGAGGCCGTTTTTATTCGATCATACGGCACTTATATCGAGAAACTATGGATTTACACCCCGTTGAATTTGACACTTTATATCAGTTTAATAATATATTTTTCGTACTTTTGTGCTTATGCGTAAAAGTGCTTTATTTTTATGCCTAGGCATTAAAATTACTTTTATTTTATCAATCACGTCGCCAAAATTAATACTTTTGTTGCGTTTGAAAAAAAAATCATTTATTTGTAAGTTTTATAACATATCTAATTAAATTGGGCCGAAAGGAGTCAGTTCTGAACACACATCCGTGGTTCTGAATCATTCTTAATTTATTTTTAAAAAAGAACATAAATACCTAAAAACAAAAAAAATTAAAGTTAGTAGATATGTCAAAATAATAAGTAAATTAGAAAACCTGTATATTTATTTAATTGGAAAAACTGATGAAATTTCATATATCCTTCAAATTAGAAATTGTATCCTAATTAATTTTTACTCTAATTGCTAAAAAACGAATATTACAAAAATTAAGTTATAAAGTGAGTTTAGTTATATTAAAGTTCACCATATTGTCAAGAAAAAAAAATTATTATTGCTTTTAAATTAAAAAATTATGTGCAAGTTAGGTTAAACTACAAGTTAAACAATATAGATAATCAAAAGTTTTTTTGATAAAATTTGCTTTTTATGATGTCAGATCATTTCTATTAAGAAAAATACACTAGATAGAATACATTACATTTTTATTAAAGACGCTGATGGGTAACTAAAACATTGACTAATAAACCTTGTCCATTTTAATATAAGAGGTCACGACATATTCCCTTGGAATCTTTTGTGAAGGTGTAAGGGGTGTATAATAAATTAATCCTTGTTTTATAATAAAAACCATAAAACATTTATTTGTGAGTTAAATAAACGCCTGCCCTCGCCTGTCATAGGCAACCAAAAATACATATAAAAAAAAATCTTGTAACTTTAGATGAACTTTAGTAATTATGTCAGTAAACTCTTAATTGGGCCTCTAGTCTATTATATTTAATGTACAAATATATTATTAAATTTTTAATCATAGATTAAATATTTTAATCTAAGCATTAAGTAATAAAACCATTTTGTGCCCATTTATCATAAGAGGTCACGAAATATACTCTTGGTAGTACACAAAACAGTGTAAGGGGGTGTAAATAAATGTATAATCATTGATTTTTTTATAATATAAACTATAAAACATTTATTTCTTATTTTAGAGAATAAAAAAACAAAACAATGCATAATATAAACTATTTTAGAATTAGGTATAAGCAACCAAACACACAAGAAAAATAATTTAGATAAAACCTGTAATTATTTATTGCCAAATATGTCAATAAAGTCTTAATTAAGTCTCTAGTCTATTTTTTACTTTATATTTACATAATATAAATACCTTACACTCTTTTTCCGATACAGAAAATTTTGTTAATTGCTTCTTGAAAATGCGACAACCTGACAACGCTGTTTTTAACGTTCGGGACGCGTTCGGGTGGACGACTCTACCCGAACAACTGGTAGGACAGATGCTCATTAGGACAGATGTGGTTCTCCCCAAATTCACAAACAACTCGTTTCCACAACTGGCTAGTAATTAAGTTATTTCATAAATTTTGGGGCCAGTGTCACAGAACTGGGCCTATTTTATTACAATAAATTAGTATGAAAATATTAAGCATCATAATAAAGTCATTTTGGAATCTATTTAATTAAATGCTAGTTCTTATAGAAGGTGTGGATAGTGTGGATCCGGTGGCTGACCTTGAAGCCCATATTTGCTGCATTTGATCATCGATACTACGCAAGCGCACATCGTCGATGTTGCCAAATTGCAGTTTATTTTCGAATTATTTGCAGTTGAAAATTTTTTTTGAGTGTTAATCAATAATAATACAAATTCTATAATTAATTTTATAATTTCAGATTTATCTATGATATATAAAATTGTAATAATAATAACATTTATTTATATATTTACATTAGAATTAAAAATTATCATTTACGGATATTTTCTTAATGGTTATAAACGTATTAGAATTATTTTATTTCTTTCATGTTATTTAATTTCTAGTTATTTACAGGCAACAATAGTTTTGATTATATGTACTGATGTATTGAAGTACTACCATGACGAGTCTTATAGAACAATACACGTCAATGGGAGATAGAGGTAACATTTTACTGTGATTTTACCTATAATTTTACTAATATAATATACTTTGATTATAATGTTTGTAGCAAAATTTCTAAAAAATATCAAGTTAGTGGATTAATAGCAATTTTAGACATATATTTTATCGAAGAGTGTGGTGATAAGACTAAAATAAGCTTTATGTTTTATCTTTTTCTCTTTAGAAGGGAGATGGTTTGTGTCGTAGAATACATTACAGTATTTAATATCGTGTACTTGCTGATATTCTTTTCTTAATCTACTGTAATTTCTTATTTCCTATAATGCCAAATCTTGACAATATGGTGAAGGTTGAGTTTTGATCTTATTAGTTTAATACCTGTGTTTACTAAGACCAAATTAAGACTTAGTTAGTTTGTGATTTATATTAAGATCTTTCTTATAATATTTGTTATGTCTTAATCTTAATACTATATTATGCTTTGTCTGGAAAATAAATGTTCAAATATCTTAATTTTGGTATATCCTATTCCATGCTTCCATTAGGAAAAAATATGGTTTATAAATCATATATGCTAAGAAAAAATCGCCATAAATTAGGTGTAAGAATAGAGAAATCTTAAGGTAGCAGAAAAATGCAATATATGTATAAGCAGAATTAAACAAGGTAACTGTTAATGTTGTTGAAGCTGATTCTACAATATTAATTGGTTGAGGTTAAAAAGGCCTTTTAAGCGTCCTCCGTAGTTTTGATGGAATGTTAAAAAAACTATTATTACATGACATGGAGCTACTGCTAAAAATTAAAAAAAAAAAAACTTGGACACATCCCTTTTAATTTCCCGACTTTGTAATAAAGCCCTTTTTAAACGTCGCATAATAATCTAGAGCAATTAGATTAATTACAAGAATCTAGTGTTTTATTTCTATTTAATTTTATTGACTATGAAAATACATAATAAGCGTTCACGTGTTATAAATATTAAAATAATAATATAAATAATATACCGCGTACTATGATTGAAAAAAAATA